AAACAGAAATTAGGGCTGTAAAATAAAATCGAAGTGCACAAAATTGTGATTCCTGATGCTGTACATTTAATGCTATCTAAAGCCAAGTCCGTCCATTCATCATCTAACTTCTTAATTAGGTTTAATATAATTAGTTGTATCTTTTAAGATCCTGCATTCCTGAGGGGTGTGCATTAGGAATGCACAAAATGGCTGTTTTTATAAGCCACACTGTTGTATGAAGATATCCTTTAATTTGGAAGTATTTCTTGGCACTAGAGCTCGATGAAGATGTTTAAAACATTCTGTATATTATTTAAAGTCACTTCTGCTAAGAAATGGAAGAACACCCACCTGAACTTAGGCAATCAAACTTTGTTCTCAGATGCACTGATGTAACCTAAGACAGAATTTACCCATTCCTTATAAAGTTACTATAAACAGTATTTGTTGACACAGTAAGGTCTGTGACTGTACAAGTCCTGCTAAGTTACAACATGTACTGTTGGTACACTACATCTTTTAAGCATACTAATATTTGTTTAAAACAGCTTTATTTGGTTAATGAAACATTCAAGATTGATATACAATAAAGTTGAAACCAATGGTTTTAATGTTTATTTTCAGGTCTGAAGTAGAGAGTACAGGCTTGTGTATGCTTTCTTATCATTATTACATGGCTGAAAGCTGTCAGCTGTTCACATGCCATATTAATAAATATGCCCAAATCATAAAGCTTTAACTGTATTTCCACAATGCTTTTATTACTAGAGTGTTTATTCACATTGGCACAGATAATCCATGCAAGGTACTTACTCACACCTCATAAACCACACTACATTCTGTTTCTGAAATAACTAGGAACTTAGGAGAAAATACATATCTAAACGCAAGGGCACTTGTGGCATCAAGTCAACATGTCAATAGATTATAAAACCTAGACTTCTAACATGACCACTGCAGGCAAGAAATCACTCAGTTTCAAATTCCGATGTTTATAAATACTAAACAAATTAATTAATATCTACTACCAGGAGACAAATATTGCAAATAAACATTAGTGTACCCAGCATTAGGCACTAATGAGTGTGTTCAGTGCTGTGGACATTGACATTATTTAACATAAATACAAATAATCTTTAACAAAACATATCGCCCAAAGTACTGACCACTGAAGGACCAAAGTAAATTTTTTTCCCTTGTTTTGAATTGATTTTAGAAACGTGTAATGTGTAGATCCAATATAGTAAAAACTAACTTCTAAAAAAAGAAGTCGTAAGAGTGTTTTTTTTTCCAGATAATAAAAGCAGTCATCTTTGGAAACATTTAATTTACCCTGTTCTGCAAAAAGAACAGAAAAAGAGAAAAAGCATTGAGATAATTTTTGCAGCCTTTGACTGAAGAGTTATTGAACACTTTTTAATTAAAGATGGTCTTTTTATTTGATCATTCAGAGGTACAGCATCTTTGTTTTATTATGTAAAATCTCATGTTAATTAGAATGAAAAGGAATACTTAGAGGAACTTAGGACTTGTCCGAGGCATCTATTACAAGACATAAACCAAACAAGTACACATTATTCATCTTGCACATTTTTGTACAGTGTTTATGTTCAGTGATAGCTGAAAGGCCCTATTCTGAATTATATATCTATCTCTATGCATCTTTCCCACCTCCATATCACGAAGGTGACATGAGGCAGAAGAGTATCAGCAGGTATGTGGTATTCTACCCCGTGAAAGTTAAAATATGACATTATTATTCACAAATTTCTGGTTCAGATATGTGCAAAAATTATATCTTAATATAGATATCAAGAGCAGGTAACTGGATTCCCTATTTTTTGACCACATTATGAAGCAGCACAAGTCAAAACAAGAAATTTATTACATGATAATCCTCAGGGTATCTCTGTTCTTCATTCAGAGATATCACTGTACCTCATATAGTGATATGTAAACTAGCTTTAATCTCACTTGCTCAGACACCAGCTGGAGTCAGGGCATGTGTTACAGTGCAGGTTATCTGCCCAAGGAAATTTTCAGGCCTCTCTCAAGTTAGTACGGCTCCCACTAGAAAGGAAATTTTCAGGACTCTCAAGCTAGTACGGCTCCCACTGAAGTCTGTGCTGCTGTGTTTTCATTGTTGCTACTCTGCAAGCTAGCTCAGCTGTTCTGAAATACATTGCATTCACCTTTCTGCAGTACTGACTTCAAATTTACTAGATAGGATCCTGTATCCCCCTTGCTTGCCCCTTCTAAACATATTCATACTATCTCTCTGGACTGTGGTGAGCTACTTGTACCCTAATTTCTTGCTTCAAGCCCTTTCCCTGACTGCTGTGAGTCATCCTGGCTATTCCCCCATTCCACCCTCTGCCCCACCCCAACTATCTAAGATGTCAACTTCGTGAAACCAGCCTTGCCAAGCTATTCCCCCTCGTCCAACCCCAGCTTTGGTCAGGGCTTCACATTTTCTCAATGCCTCATCTTTTCACATTCAGCCAGAGGCCCCCAGAGCCCCTACATTCTGGCTGCCACAGGTGCTCTCCCTTCACTGATCCAAGCCTCTTCCCCTGCCCATACCAAGACCCCTGTCTCTTACACCCCTATCCACTCCAGCAACTCGCAGGCTGACCTAGGCCACCTCAGCTGGCAACCTGGGTGCCCCTGTGGTCGTGAAGAAGAGAGCCCCAGCTGTGCTGCCTACCACCATCCCCTCACAGCCTGCACCCCTGCCTTAGCTGCAGCCTGCCATCTCTGGCCCTCTCCTAAAATGCTTTATCCATCACACTGCCAGTGAAGAGGGAGCTTTTAGGGAGATTGAGGGGGAAGTTGGAGAGTGAGACACACACGTATACACGCATGCAGATTAGAGGTGAAAGACCTCATGAAATTCTCCTGAGGCATCACAAGCCCTAGTGCCTTGTGTCCTCCCAAGGAGTCTCACTCCCTGTTTTGATGTTGACAGTAAGACACTAGTCCCAGTCAGTGGGTAACAGAGACGTCTGCCCAAAGAATAACTTCAATGCAGTTTTAGTATATAATACTCTGATATGAATTCTCCTAAGTAACAGAGAACAATAAACATCATTTGGTTGAATGACATTCATAAATTAAAAGGAAATCCAGAATTGTCTCACTGTTATGGAAAGGTATTTAATGAAGTCAAATACGAGTGAAAAAATATTTAACTTCCATGATTACAGTTTATTCCTGTAGAGAATATTATAAGCCAGATCTTTGGATTTTGTAATCAATGGAACCATATTCATACCAGCCCAGCACTGACTGAAAACAGAAATTTTTTTTGCTATAGAAAAAAAAAAGACTTTGCATATAATGTACTATTGTTTTAGAATAATTCATGCATACAAAAATCTGACCCTGTAGCACTCAGATCAGATCACTGCTAAGATCAGTGAGAACTAAGATACCTACTGGACAGATACAGGTCACGCATGCCAAAACTGCCACAGGCAGTTCAGGTTGTTATTTTAGTCCAAGATGCAGACTGCCTGCAGCTAACTTATTTTGCATATTAGAACTCCAAATTTCTTTTATTCCTCCCCCAATCCGAGTATAGTTTTTCATCCCTGAAAAGACGCACCAATTTTCTTAAAATGGGCATTGCCCATAGGAGGGAAAAGGCAGACAATGCTTCTTGTTACTCAAAAGACAAGGTAAAACAGGGTGCAGATGGCACCAGAATGTGGCCCACAGAATGCATCCCCAGCCTCAGGAATACTACTTCAAAACTCAGTACTGCAAGCTGTCAACACAGACATCATAATTCTCACTTAAAACAGATTAATACAATTTGAATAGTGATCAGAATTTCCATTTTAACTCTATTTTCTAATCAGACAGAACTGCTGTCTGCAATACAAAAGTCATTGATATTTAAAAATTCAAATGTATTATCAGGCCTACAAGTATTGCTCTTTTGTGGAAAAAAAAAAAGTGTTATTTATAACTGTTTGAACAACTTGAAAGTTGTTCTTAAAATATTAGAAAAGATGTTTTTCCTAATTGGTGGAGCCTATCTACTGTTTTACAATGGTAAATACTACTGCAATTCAGGATGTGTTGCATTTAAACTAACAAAAGTAATAGAGTATGTGCCTGTGGTGTTATGCTGCCTTATGAATTGTCAATCAATGTTAATTTACTTTAGGAAAAAAAAAAGATGCCCTTTTCCTAACTATGTGGGATAGAGTAGGGAACTTTTGCAAGCTATCACCTCCCATGTCCTAGCTGTGCTACACGGATGTGTATCTTGTGTGTTCATCAATGTGAAGGTCCAGATGTAGATTCTTACCTCCCACTGATATCAATGGGAATTAGAAACCAAAGCAACTTTGAGTATTTTTTTTCCACAAGACGAAAGGAAAACTGGTTTTGAATTAAATTCAAAATAAAAAAATAAATAAAAGCTCTATTCCATTCAATGTAAGAGCAATTTGGAGAAAGCCAGTTGTCCTTTTCCATCGTGATTTGAAAGTGAACTAATCTACTGTGCATGTATAAGCCAAGTGCACTAGCAAGCTTGAGCCAACATGCTTTTCTCAATCTTACTGGGTTATGAAAGGCATTATTCTGTTTCCACTTTATTTTCAAACTAAGTTACAGATTGTCTCCTAGGCTTCCCAGCGACATATGGATTCAAGACAGACTTCTTATTTGCAAAGAATGTAAAATATTTGATGCTATGAGGTAACAGCACAACATAATGGAATAGCACTCACTTTGCATAGAGGAAACCCTAATCTATTTATTTCCCTTTGAAAGCCATGGCCTTTGGTTCTACCGGTTATTGTACGTGTGGCACTTACTCATTCTTGTTATGAAAGAAAATTACTTATTACAAAAGGACTTTTCTAGTTGTTCTTAAACACTAGTGTGTGGTCTAAGCAGTAAAACTGCTGTGGGTAGTTCATTTGAAGCTGTATTTGTGCATTACTTCTTATATTACAGTTTTTAGTTAATTTCAATATTTCCCCCAATGGTTGCTATAGTAATGGACTAGTTCATTTGTTTTTGACTGTTCATTCAGGAGGTTTTTGTATGGACTTTGCAAAAGTATGTTCTGCATTTATGAAAAAGGTTAAAGTTAAACTTCAGAAGTATCAACTTCCTTGCGTTTACCAAGAGAAATACTAGCCATGGTTATCAACTTTATGATTGCCGTTAGTCATCTGTTTTTCCCCAGCATTACTGGCTACCAACTCTTCTTTTAAACATTGATGGCGTGGGCATGCTTCTTGCACAGTGGCTTATCCTTCTTGGAGTAGAATGGCTGACCTTCCAAATTCACATGGCATACCTAGAATTAATAATCATACAATCAGGAATCACTTTAAAAAAGAGAGAAAAAAAAGAGAGAGAAAGACATGATTGTCAATTTCAACTGTATTTATCTTCTGCCCACACATTTCTTTGGCATCTGATTTCTTGGATCAAAGTGCAGGCCTTGGTAGTTTTCCTACTCTGTGTTGAGGTTAGGCTCTGGTTTGCATCAGCTCTTCTCTCTGTACTTTCCTGCCACCACTACCCACTAAGTTCACTAGTTTCCAGTAAAATGAAGTCTGGATACACGATCTCCTAGGGAGCTTTGGCATGTCCCAGCAGTGCTTGTGTCTGTCTAAAGCTCAGTCTTTAAGACCTGGATTCTGATCCTTTAATGAATAATTTTACAAAAGTTCTGGTTAGATGCCATGGTCCCATCCCATGATGCCATCCTTCCACAGTACCACTAGATACCCGTTCCTGTTACTACTTTGTCTTGGTATGGGCGCTTATGTGGTCACAGAGGGAGTCATTCAGACAGCCAGTATCACTGAAAACTAATTACTTCCTCTTACCAGGTTATTCTTCAACCCAGAGTTCTCTGCCTGGCTGCACAAGTGCTGGTGTTGACATAACAAAGCATGGCCAAGGCAGGGCAGCCCAGGGTTAGATCAGCTTAAACTGCCCCGCAATTGTATGGATATCTACGCAGCGTACTGCAACACCACTTGCAAGGTCAGAGTTGACCAGAACCACTCAAGGAAGTCAACACATCAGAATCAAGCAATAAGAATAAACATTGTCCCTAATGCTTACGGCAGGCTTAAGATCAGTGAGAGGTTACATTAGTTGTGTGCTGCTGCAAGTGGAAGGAAAACCACGTGAAAGGATATGAGGATAGCATATTAGAAATTAAGTCATTGTTTGCATTTGACTTAACCCACCAAAAGAAATAAAGTTAGCTCCCAACAAAAAAGTTTTGAGAACTGCATTAACAAAACTATCACCTCCACAGAAAATCAGATTGCTAATTTAAATAAATATATAAAAGAACGCAGTTAAATGGACAAGCAAAAAGGATCATGAAATATTCAGAGAAAGTGTCTTTTATAAGTGACTAATAGCTGTTAGTCTGTGAAGGAAACTTGCTGTCTTAATATTCCTTTCTATGTTAGAATTTCAAAAAGACATCAATTTCCACAGGACACTTTTGTGTCACTCACTTCCGTGTACCCTTGAAAGATCAGTAGCTAGTTTAGCTTTAGATATTTATAAGCATTTTTATACTTTCTACTATTCAACCTAAATCTGAAAGTTCAACAAACATTAGAAATTGTCACTGTCAGTTTTGGTGTGGCCAACATACTCTTTTTAGCTATTTAGATGTTCTAGGTATTATTACCTTAGGAATACTATTTTGTAGAGCAGAACAGCTGTATTAGAACCATATGAAAAGTACTGTTTATCATGTGGATTTTACTACTTTGTGTGCAGAGTGAGGGAATATGGCCACACTATATAGCTGTACACACACTACAGACTGATAAGTTTGAGCAACTTTTATGCTAATTACTATTCGTTCTCTCTAGACGGACTTCTTTTTGCAAGTTTCATCAAGCATTCTGCATGGACATAGAAACTGCACTGCTTTGTAAGTAAGATTATGGCTATACTGCTCAGTATGGTGTTAATTTATTTTAAATCCTACTGTATCTGTATTTGGTAAACATTGGAAAGAAAAACAGCAATAGTGATATGTATTGCTGTACGTACTCTCTAAAACTGGATGTTTTATTAGAAAGCACTGACTTGTGATGGTCAAATTTAATAATCCTAGTAAAAGTTTATGGAGGAGAGGAGAAATTACTCCCAGCCTTCTCCATCTGCAAGTAAAAAATGAAAATGAAATTCAATCTCTCAGCATCCTTAGGCATATGTTAGTTATTCCTGCTTTCAGGTCTTCTGATGTTACTTCACAATTAATGAGTATAAAGAAATGAGATAGGTTTTGGTTTAGAACCTACAGCACAAATGAAGCAGGTATCATGCCAAGTGTGTCCAAGAGCTTCAATGAATTTATCTCCAGCTTCAACAGGAAAATCACAGCCATGGCATTTTGTGCTGAACAAAGCAATATAATCTAAAATAAAACAAAAAGCAAACTCAGAAAAGTCTCTTATCATAGTTGTATTAAATCCAAGAGAAATAGAAAGTTTCCAGAAGATGAATTTTTGGATTGGTTTTGCTCCATTTCCTACTACATTCACTGAAACACTCACACTAAAATTTGCTTCTTTTCTTTCATTATTTAAATACAAACTCAGTGCAAAACCCCATGTCATCACAAACATAGAAAACAAACAAAAAATTCATTAAATTTGAAGTTAAGTTTCTCACGTTAGTTTTAAATTAGCTTTAATGTATGTGGAAGCTATTCATAAGGACAAACATGGTCATATAAAACACAATATAATGGCCAGTGAGTGTTACCTTAAGGGTGGTATAGAAGTATAGTTTAAGTTTCCATGACTGGATTTATGTTCTCTCTGCATTAAGAGAGAATATTATGGAACCCCCATACTGGCTGGTTAATACAGCTGTACTTTGACTATCGAGTGCAATTTAGGAAGACTTGACACTGAAAAAGATTAGCAGGAATTCTAACGGTATATGGAATTCATGAGAGTCATTAGAGGTTATGGCAAAACCTCCAGATTTAAAGGGTAGGTGCCAACTCAGTCATGGCCGTATGGTTTTCATTCTTCACTAAGAGTTACTCTGATTTGTGAAATTTCATTTGTCCAACCATAAGGAAGGAATCTCCAGAGAGAAGTAGGCCAGAAGCTCATTAAATGAACAAGGCAGGGCTTACAGAGGGAATAGAACTTAAACCTTAACCTCCTTCCTGGCCATCTCAGACAACTCATTTGCATGGCAAGCACCTTTTATTAAACCATATTACCCTTTTCATAGTTCGGGAAAATGTGGCCTTTTCCTTTCTTAGAAAGAAGACAAGAAGCTGTTCATTTGTTGCAGCACTAAGAAAGCTAAATCTGCACTACCATGTGTGGCAAATCTGAGCAGAGCTCTCTTTTCACATATGATGGTTGATCAGTTTTAGAGTGAGGCAGCGGTATCAGAAATCATAGTTCAATCAACTTAGTAGAGAGAATGTGGGCAGCAACCCACATGTACTGTATAGAAGGACTACCAGAACTCTAAAAGGAGAATTTTTCACCCCATAACGTGTAGATTTCTAGTGAGCAGAATCTACCGAGGAAGGGAGGGGAACAGGGAAAAAAGTGTAGGGAGAGAAATGGAAGGTAAGTATCATAATATGTAAGGGAGAGAAATGAGGTAAGGCATTCTGGGACATAGAAGCAAAAGACCAGCAGTCTGCCAGTGTATCATATAAAGCGGAGACAAATACAGAGAGGGAAACACTTGGATATGTGGAGAGTGGAAACAAAATCCATGCTGGATGGGTAACTGATGGGTAACTGATTTTATTTTGTTCATCAGCTGCTTTATTCTTATGTTGCTTCCATACAACATGAAGCACATGATTACTGAGCAGAACTGTCTGGATTGCCATACCTTTCTCACAGTAAGGTTCCCCATCCTCCATGTGAAAGAGGCTATTACCAAATGGCATCTTACAAGCAGCACAGACAAAGCAACTTGTGTGCCAAGTCTGTTTTAGGGCATGCATCACTTCCTGTAAAACAAACAAACAAACACACGCATACACAAAAATCTCCAGCAGAACAGCATGCCCTCAACTACCTACTAGAGAACAAACACAAGGCAGAGATGCTTGAAATTTTTCCCTTCTGTGTAAGCCAATTTCCCTCCTCAAAAGAAAGAAGTATGCCAGAAATTGGACTCCTTTGGAAAGAAAGAGGAAGTAAGACTGCAAACTTTCTAGAACAATGTATTTGCCAAAACGAAACAACATCATTCAGCCAGCTGTTTGTATCAACATGCCCAGTCGCTGTTGCAGGAGAGATTCTGCACAAAGATTCTGATTATTTTCTCCTTTGTTTTGACATGACTAGTATGAACTCCTCAATGCAAGAGTATGGTTTGTTAAATTTTAAAGAGTAATTTTCTAAGACCAAGAAATGCACGCAGGGGATAAGTGATCCAAGTCTGATGTTTCAAAGCAACTTAGATTATGTACTAATTTCTTTAAGCTTCTCAAAGAATGCTTCACAAACTAATGTCCAAATCTAAAAAAAAAAAAAAATTTAAAAATAGGTTCTTAAATTTTAACTTATGTGATTAGTGAAAATGAGTCTGTGTGTCTGTTCCTAGGCCATGTGTTCATCACAAAAAAAATTCTGTACAACTAATGTTCTCTTAAACTGAGTATCCAGATTCGATCATCATCTTTTTTCTATCCAGTATGGAGCAATCTTTACTACTGCTTCATTCTTATCTTGTCCTCCAGAAATCCTCCAAGTCCAAAAGCTGCTGTACTGAGCTCTGATACACAGTTACCTGCTAATTTGTCAATCTTACTCGTGCCTAAGACGATGTTCAACAGCGTATCTCTGTCAAAAACTCCAGATTTCAAAGGGCCAGCTGCATAACTGCTGTAAATTAATTTAACTCTGTTAACTTAAGTGAAACAGCATCAATTTACACAGCTGAGAATCTAGATCCTATTTTATGTTGCTTCCAGCTATATACATAGACTCTGATTCTCTTTCAAATACTATTTTAAATCTCCATTGACTATGACAAAAGGGATTGAAGTCTTCTTCCATGCTTTCAATTCAGTGAATAGACAAAATAGTCTAATTTATGTTGGTGATACATCTCATTAGAGAATCACCATTTGAGATTCATTAACTTCTGTTACTGTTGCAAACAACTAGCACTGATAAATAGGTTTGAATTAATTTATGAACCTCACAGAGTTAAGAAGCAAAAAACAGATTGAGAAATCTTATTAATATAAATAGAGGCAGCTGGCATCTTTGCTATTTTCCTGATGAAAATCCATAATGGGGAACTGATTTGTGCCAGCGTTAATTAGGTAAGTTAAGTCAGTACTCTGCTGTAAAATTACTCCTACTGCCGCAAAAGCAAACAAGACTTGGTTGGAGCCAGAGCTTCACCACAGATGTCTGGTGCTGCTATCCCTAACTGGCAATTGCAGAGAAAAGCATCTAGTCTGTCAATGCCAACATTTAGGCAGATGTCAAAAGGCGACAGCTATGCAGTGAAAAACCAGTGTGGTACTCCTTGATTCCTCATTTAAGAGAATCATGTCATATATTCACTATAACTGCATGCATAGATACACTGCTAAAATTATCTTGTGGTATTCCAGCCTCATCACCATCTAAGGTATATGTAGAGCAAATTTACTTGTACCTAAGCATGAGTACGTTAAGACAAAATGGCATCTATTTTTGCCTTTCTGGAATTCAGATCTTTGTATTTATTCTGTATTTTCTTAACCAAAGAAGTCAGCAGTATTCCTCTTGGCAGCTGTTTAGCTAGCTACCAGTGAGGTGCAGCAAGAGCAATGGGCCTCTTCCCAAGATCACTGACTTCTCCATTGAAATTTAGACTAAGTCATGTATGAGAAAAAAACCCACACATCAAGTCTCTTACTATAAATATAAGGAAAAGATAGATAAAATTATCATAGTGTGTATCAGATAGCAAAGAACTATCCAGAAAGTGTTACTTATTTTACCCTCAGTGAGATGGTAATTGGATTACATATTCTGTCTATGAGTTGAATAAGGTACAGAAATATTGAGATTTTGGACAGATAAAAATTATTACAAAATAATATATTTCTTATTCTGATATAATCAACAGGCTGGGAAATTATTATTAAAAAAGGGGAACTAATTAGATATCTACATTCACTGCTTACAGTCTAGACTATTTCACTATTTCAGTAAACCATGCAGTTGGAGAAGGGGTTGTTTGTTTTCTTACCCCCATGATCTTAGTGTGGCATCTGGCACAGGTTGGTGCAAAGAACTGTTCATAACAGCGCTCACAGTACACACTATTCTGCTCTTCCACAAAGCACATATCGGCCAAGGATGTCTTGCAGTAAGCACAGTTGAATTCTTCTGGGTGCCAAGAGCGACCCATGGCTACCAGGAAAGGACCCCTGAAAACAATTGTCATTATCTTATTTGTATTGCAAAAAGATTGAATGACCCTGCTTACAAACCCACTTTGTTAGACACCACATACATGTATGGCAAGCATTCTACTTGAACCATGAAGGGGCATATTAAAATAAGATCCAGAAGCCTGAACAGAAATGGTCTTTTTCAAGATCATTACTCAAACACTTTGCCAATTGCTCAAAATATTTCATTATGGTTTAGTCATATACATTGGATTTATAGACAACTGTTGGAAAAATCATCAGTTGTTTTCATATCTGCATAGCCATAAGTGGGCATCGTAAACAGCTGCAAAGCCAACAGGAAAAGGCCAAGGGTTGTAACACAGAAGATAATGCTACTATTTGAAAGCGTGAAAAAGCAGTCAAATTTCCAAACCTACACACCCACACCTCACTCCTAGCTCCTAAAGTCTCCTGCCTTCTTTTCACCTGAGACAGGACTGCATGCAGCATGTTCTAGAAATGTCAGACAACTTGCTGTTTGATAATATGGAAGATACATTAAATTTGTTTTGGTGATTTACTCTTGATTGTAATTAGATACAGTGTTTATTACTAGAGTCCTTCCATTTCTGAATATATAAAGGGTAATAATTAGCAGTTCCACATCACCGAACTAGACCCTTTTAGTGGGGGAGACTAAACATGGATTACTTAAAGTTGGTTAGCAGTCCACAGGGTAATAATGGGCACCGGTCCAACAGAATGAACTGGGAGAGGAGAAGGGAAAGGCATGCTATGAATCACTGGTTACAGAGTGTAGGCATTATCTTTCTCCAGACACAAAAGCAACAATTACATTTGGCTGCTGTTCCAAAATGATGTCTCATTCCTTTTCTTTCCATAATCCACCCCCCCCCCGCCCCCCGCCCCGCTCTCCCAGTGAAGTTGTATGTACCTCCTTCAGTGCGTGCCTTAGGACCAGAAACTTTAAAAAGCAAACAGTGATTTGCCAGAGCATCCAAGAAACAAACAATTAGCATGTACAACTTTGCAGTGATAAAAAGGGAACCACACAATAGCAAAACAAGCTCTGGAAATGTTAAATTAATGAAGCAGACAACAGACATCCCTGCTAGGTAATTTAACTGGGTCTTAGGCTCTGGTACTGTATATTAATGTACAATAACCAGTCTCTGATATTTTTTTTCTGCTTCATCCCTCTTCAAAGCCTCATGACCTTACCGAATTATGCTGTTACAGTGCCCACAGAGAGGAGTTCGGCTGCTGGCTGGAAAACGTTCAGCCCTCTGAACTGTTCCCCGGGCTATTGCAGGAGCCTGGGAAGAAGTTGAAACTGGAGATGGGTAAGCAGAAGTTGAGGCAGGAGATGGTACTGGAGCACCCCTTGGTAGGATGTGCTTTGTGACAGTGGTGGTGGTTTTTCCAGGTGCAAATTTCTGGGAAAAGGAGTCATCTGTTACCCAGGGAGGGCGACTTGCAGGCTCAGCGTTGGCAGGGGAGTAGGAATGAACTGGTGCTGGTGCTGTTTTAAGTATCCCAAAAGAAACCAAGAAGTATTTTAAAGTCTTTTCTTCTGATGGCAAAACAGCAACACTTACCAAAGGGTACTCCACAACACGCAAAAAATAAAAGCTTCAGATGACAATTATAGTCTGTCCCATTATTGCTCATTAATTCTGGATCAAGCCAAGGATATCAGCACAATCACGGATTTTTAACCCACATGCATTACAGAAGTCATTGCCTACTGGCTTTTACAGATTTTATGGAGACCATTTTCAAGGGCATCTCTTCATTTTCTAGTAGGACTGGATATGACAATTCTGTGATAATTTCAAAGACTGCCATATAATCTGTTTAAGACAGGTTAAAAATAGAAAGGCCAGATCACATAATAAAGTTTTAGACAGAATGCCCCATAATTTCAATAAGAAGTTTTGCTTAAATTTTCATGTCATTATATTCATTAAAATGCAGCATTTTCCACAGCTGTCACTATCATTTGTAGGTTTTACTCCTGGTTTTCTGAAGAAAAACAGGCTCCCACCGGGAACACAGAGATAGAGAACACTGGAAGCAATATTGAGGGAGCCAATTCAGCTCACATGACCAGCAAGACAAAGCCAGCAGCACTTAGAGGAAGGCCAGACTTGCGGTTATGACTGATCTCAGTTCAGTTCTTGGCTCTGCCACAGACTTCCTGTATAACTTCGAGCAAAGCATAATATCTCTGTGCCTCAGTTCCCATGTATCAAATAGAAATATTACACTTCCTTTCTTCCACCCTTTGACTATCACATAAAATCTTCAGTGCAGACTGCCTCTGTGTTGTATGCATCAGGCTCTAATCTTGGGTGGAGCTTTATTGCATAAAAATAAGCAGAAGCTAGAGCCTGCACATACCGACAAGTTTTCCCATTGCCCTGCTCTTTTCTAAGCATCAGATCTTGCATTGTGTAGGACTGAAGTCACTGCCCACGAAACCGCCTCACTTTGCCAAGTACAGGAGCACTAAAAGCGGTTTTTCCTTTGAAAGAAAACAAAGTGAATGATTGTTGGTTTGTGTGAGGAGGAACAGAAGCTTGGAGAGTTGAAGTGTTTTGCCCAAATGAGAGTGCACAGATTTGGGAACAGAAGTGAGTTCTCCTGCAGTCTAGGCAAACACTCTGCATACTGGATCCCAGTGCCAATAAAATGATGACCAAATACCACATTTACAGTGTTAAGTGGCTTGCAGGTAGACAGATATTTCAACCAAGAGGGTTCTGAATGTAACATGGATTTTTCTGGATAATTATGTGGTGAGAAGATTGCATTCTACTTAACACTCCTCCTGTAGGCCACACCCCCCGCCACGTAGAATAGCATACACTGATCATTTGCAGTTGCAAGTGCTTAAATCACACATGTATCAACCCACTGTGATCACCCTAGTGATCTCTGATTTTCTTCTTGTTACCAAGTTCAGAGTTGAATCTAATACATCTTCTTGATAAAACTTTATTGTGCTACAACATCAATAAAGTTTCTGCTTCATAAAACTGTATCCCACCTTAGCTTGAGGCTTCTTTCTTTCTTCTTTTTTTTTTTTTTTTTTTTTTTTTTTTTTTCCTTGGGAATGGTAAACAGTGTTCAAAGTTTTCAGAACAGAGAGTTTATACTCAATCTCTAAATCCTGAGGCTGTTGCTATTTATGTATTACGGTATTAAGCTAGGCAGAATTAGAAGGCAATATTTCATCTCTAATTGGTGAGTTCAAAAGGCTCTCACCTATGAGACTCTAATTAAATAAGGTGATTTCTAGCTCACTCAGTTTTGTGAAAGGGTTCTCCTCCCCCAAAAACCAATTCTTATTCATGCAAGGTTCGTCCGTGTATCCCACAGAAGGCCCAACAAAATGGCCAGATATTCAAATCCAGAGTTCCAGAAGTGAAGAACAAATGCAGTCCAGCTACCATTTTTAGGGTGTTCTTCTATGATTGTCCTTAGTAAATTACTTACAGCCTCTTGGTTTTTCACTTTTTCTTCCTTAATCCCACAATGTCAGTGTTTTATTTTTTCAGTTTGTTTATTCCAACCAATGTAGACAGCATATGATTTATCTGGGTTCAGATTAATCTAGACTCCTTCGAAGTCGAGAACACTGGGAAAGGGTCTTTGTCTTTCTTTCTTTCTACCTTCTATTTCTTTTTACCCTATCTTTTCTACTTGCTGCGGCAAAATAAATTTCTTTCCAATTGCTGAAAGAGGATAACAGGGGAATTATTGCCAAACTGCTCCGAGTTCCGTTTTCAGCCATTACCATTTACTTTGACAGGATGGATTTATTGCAACATATTTTCCCCATGTGAACAGGCTGGAATTACTATTGATTTAAAGTAGTGTCACTGAAATATATTAGAACAATTTCACTAACTTTGAGATGTTAGCTATTAAGAGGGGATTATAATCATCTTATTTTATGGCTATATCCCTAAGCTTATATGAACAGCTCTTTTGTCTTAGTGGCTATGGCCTTACAAGTTCACCGTGCATGTTTATGTATTTTAAAGTCTTCCAACATAGACACAGCAGATAAAAGGTGCTGTTTGCTGGTAAAAAAGTACTAAGATTCACTACTTCAGAGAACAGATTTGCAAAATATCAGTATTGTTTGAACTGACCCTCAACTGTTCAAAAATTAAGACTTCAAATAATTCAGTAACCCAGCCCCTATCACCTTTTTTCTCTCAGCCTTCAGACTCTTTTAGAGTAGGAACGAATGGGACTACTGTTATCCTGAGAGAATGGCAGGAGAAGAGGTCTCTTAACAGCGCTAGAAACAAGCCAGTTCCTTGCTTCTGGGGAATTTGGAATTTTCTCCATCAGCTCTTCATTTGCAGTCAATGGATATTTTCCCTCCAGAAAAATAGGTGTGTTACCAAAGATTCATTTAGTAAAGATTCACACAGTCTCAAATGCTTTAGTCTTACATAGTAGCTTGCCTTTTTTTTTTTTTTCTGTTTTAGTAGAACACATAATTGTTATTCTTAATAATAATTTTCCAGTAACAAATGTAATTCATAATCACAACTGATTTGGCTTGTTCTACACCTAGTGGCCACATCTGTAAAGCCCAAAATTTTCCTAAATACTGTTCCAGTATATAGTAGATGAGAGACAAAGCAGATAATTCAACAAGTATTTTATAAGAAGAAATTATTCCTATTCAGAAGAATTTAAAAATGGAGGATGGTATGTAACTTGCTGGTTTATTATCAAAGGTAGTTAGGATTCAGTGAAAAGTTCATTGAGACCTGTGGGAATTTTTCTACCAATTTCTAAAAGAGCGAATCACCCTTTATGCTTGAGCGCTTTTACGTACGTGAGTAGTCCTACTTGGACTTAGGGATTTCAAAGGAAAGGTCTGCTTTCTTACTTTTAGGTATCATGTTACTTTGTAGTATAAAACTGGCATTTGAGTTGCTTGGACTATATGAAAGCACTATTCTAGTCTGGGAAAGCCCACAAGAAAGGAAGACACAAGTATTTTCTGCCATCTAGTGGACCTTGTTCAAAAAAGAAGTCTATGTTCCTTTAAAAACAGGTTATGACATTTACGGGACAGAGAAGGGGAAAGATTTTGGAGTTTGCAGCCTTCCCTATAGAAAGAAAACAAAGATTTTTAGCAGCAGAAAATTCCCACCAGAGTTAGATTAGTCAAAGTAGTAGTACTCTTTCTTTGCTTTAAAGCGTAGACTTACTGATTACTCCCATCCAAACTAGACACTTAGCGATGCAGTTTCATTTCAAGATTGGTTCAAGATTTAGCCCCATTAATTTTTTCAATCTGAGACAGATTAAAATAGTATTGTAAACCCTTCAGGTTTCTGGATATTGTGTATATGAGGCTGTTGGTGGGCGTTTTAATCTGGAAGTTGCTGGGCCCCAATTTTAAGTGAAGCAAGTCATCTCATTCCCATTACACTGGTCGCTAGCATGAAGACATCCCACTTCTAAATTCTACACAGCAAATCCTTACAGAAATCTCCACTATTTTGGCCTTTTCACACAGTGGATTTACAAAAATTATAAAAATGCTAAAGTAAGAGTGCAGTTACTGCAACAGCTTCAGGTTGCACTCAGATTGGAAGATTTTGTGATCTCATATGTCATAGTTTGTAAACAGCTGGTCCTCTCAGATTGAGGTTGCATTCTACACTGCAGGACAGAATGTATGTACATTGACAAAGTTGGGTGAGGAAGTTTTCTGTCTTGCTGGTTCATTTCAAAGTACTATTGATCTTTCCCATCTGTGACAGGAAATACAGTTTCCTCCATTTCTTCCAAGTGACAATTTCCCATTTTCTCAGGGCTGCAACTGCAACCGCCTCTAGGGCCAGCTCATGTTCCAAAACCAGTATGAAGTGCTACTACATCAAGTATATAGAATGTTAAAAAGGTACCAAAACAAATGCCAAACATCTTCAATAAAATCTCTGTCTGTAATCTCTTTTGTATGCGAGTCACTCTGGGGTTCAATTACAAAAGTATTTTAGAATCCCTCATTGGATATTTCAAACTCCCAAACAGCACAGGAGACTTACTGTTTCTTTCTCTATGAACTTTAATGCTCTTTGAATCTTGCCTTTGTAATATATCACATTAGATATAATTCTGAATTTTCTCCTGCCCTCTAGAGTACATTATATCCATGCAGTACCTGCAAAATAAGAATTTTCCACACACAGGTAGACAATATGTACAGTTGAAGTAAGTTTTTTGTATACATAGTGACACAGAACATAGTTTCCATACTGTGTATTTCAAACCTTTATTGGGAGGCAATGGAGCTCAAAACCAGCACTATAAGGAATTGCAAAGAAGATGCCTATCACAGGAGAAAACCTCTTATTCTGAGTCTCATTCAACAGCTAGCTTTTTCTTTAACAGATATGGCTACTGATTGGATATAGCTACAGATTTATTTCTGTGGCAGGTTTGTATATTGAGAACTGGAGTTTATATTTCCCCCAAATGAGCATGGGGCTTAGTATCAATCAATGTATTTAGGAGATATTTTGGCTTGTCACAGTTTGCTCTGTTCTGCATTATGGAAGTAAATCCTCTGCCTTCATCTTTCCTTCTTTTGCGAGACAAAACCAACATTTGCCTTCAGTGAGAACATGGTATTTGCTGACACACTTAACCAAAAGCAAATGAGGAGAAGCTGAAACCTTTATTTGAGTCCCTTAAATAGCTCATGACAGTTCTACACTTGCTTTTTCCACCTTTATATCTCAAATATAAAGATCAATCAACTGATCTGTCTGTCTGCTTTACATCCAAGTAAAATTTCTGCACTGGATTAATTTCAATAGATCCAGAGATAGAGCATTACAGAAGACAGAGTTTAAGACTGTTAGAATTCCTGGCTTTTTCATATTTACTTGACTGTCAAGATATAAATCAACTTTTTAATTCTCTTGCTAAGATCAGAACAAGCTTAATTTGAAACAGAATTGCATGTAGACTTATACTGCTGCCTCATTTAATTTGTTCATTTTGAAGGTTCACATTTTGGTCATCAATGGTTTTAGAAGTTCACTCCATTTGTAACACATTAATACAAAGGGAATTTAAAGACCATCAAGGAGCATATTTTCCACATGAATGAATAATCAAATATATTCCTTCAGTAACTGGATCTTTGGGAAATGGAAGCATAGCATTATGAAGTACTTTAACAGGTCATTCTTTATTTCAAATATAAGCCTGATTTTCAGAAGTTCAGTATATGGCCTTATCTATCTTGTAAATATACCCTATTCAAGCTACCTTCACTTATCTCCTTCCTGAGCTATGCATTCTTAAGCTATTTTATCCATTCTGAAGTGCCACTGGGCTCCTAATTGGGCATGCTGGGTTATTTTCCAAATGTATTTCTTTTGAAAAATCAGGCTATGCATTTTTTATTACAGACTTTTCCCTTGCTTTTATTCTTCTTCCTCCATTTGTTCCACATTTTCACTCCAAAGAATACAAATACAACATAATCCTCGATCTTCAGATAATCTGAAGCAAAATTAGCAACTAGCAGCATTGGGTTCCATGTACATAAATGTTTCCTGATATGTGTGTGTCCTATTGCAAAATGTTCATTATTTGCATTTTCTTTTGCTAAAGATGCATATGCATGTGCATTTCTTTTCTGAATCCTTTCAGTACATTGTTCTGAATCATTTCAGTACTTCGAAGACACCTTACCTGGCTGGTACACAGAGGGCTTTATGCTGGCAGTAGTAACAACTCTTTGTTTTGAAGTAGCAGAAGCAGCAGGACTTTCACCGTAGCTTCCAGAAACTGGCATTGGTGTATATGACTGGCTTGTGTTTCTAAAAGCAAAATGAAGGTATGAGCAACTTTATAAAGAGCAAGAGTTACTGATTATGAAATAACAGATTTGGCAGCTTCCAAAGCACTCCAAGCCAAACTGTCCTTGAGAGCTACAGAGAGGATACTGTGAGATTCATTAGTCTTTACCATTGCTGAGACAGGCTTGAACAATTCTTTGGAAAGAAAAATTGGCTGAGTAAGGATTTTAAATAATGCCCAGTTGCTCTTGTTGTCACAGAAAATAGCTTACTGAAGGGATATGACAAATTTATCAAAGAAACACTCAGTTTAACAAGGGATCAGCCTTCAGGAACATGCACACAAAGTTTGAGTTTTACGTCCCTCTACAAACAAACAGGCCTGTTCTTGTCTAAGATAAATCAATGAGGGGTGTCTCATTGACTTAAAAAGATACTGGCTTAGCACAATTACTACTACTACAAATACTAAGTACTGTTTATAAGCATTGTATTCTTTTCAGAAAGATTGCAGTGACGTTAAAAAATTTCTGAAACTAACTCTTTTCCCTATGTAGCCTGAAACCACAATTTACATTATTTTTTCTAATGTTTAGATTCAGCTAACCGAAAAGCATGTCATATGCAATATTATGATGCAATTTCTGCATTCCTACATTGAAAACATTTGTTCAGGATTCCAAACATCAATAAGAAATAGTTTTTCTCTATTTTATGGCTCAGATGGCAATTCTCAGTTTGATTATAGTAATTGAAATATATGCCTCTTCTGTTTGCCTACTACTTAGCATGATTCCATTTGTAGTGACTTTGCTTCATAGAACCCTGAAAGATCACTACAAACAAAGCAAGCAAGCAAGAATGAAGAAGTACATGAAAGGGAAGCAACAGATACCAAGATGCATGCAGTAACATAACTGATTCTGAATATCATTCTTACTCACCCTGAAAACATAGTTTTACTTTCTTTTCCCTTCAGTTTCACTATCTGTATGAACCAGATCCCTACTCACTTGTGCTGACAGATTAGGAGTTATTTCCATAGTGATTTGTCTACAGGAAAACATTTGTCAGCAGAAGAAAATAAGAGTCCAGCTTTGCCAGACCATTGGTCCATCTTGACTTGTACTTTCTTTAACAGGGGAAATAGATGCCATCTGGAGCGAACATGTTATAATTTTTACATATGGCAAACCCAGCAAATGCCTTCCAGTACAGGTAAAAAACATTCTGACAAATGTAAACTTTTGATTTTTAATTTTGAACAAAGTAAAGCTATCCTCACAACATAGCTTTTTGCTACTCTGACAGTGCTTACACTATAGATCTAGTTTGCATAGTACTGCTGCCTCAGGCTAATTTATTTTGTCTATTTAGTTAGACCTAGAAACATAGCTGTAGCTACAATGACTATAGCTAGTTATTTCTGTACCTAGTACAGGGCTTAGGGCTGGATTTGTGTCCACTATACCATGAGTGAACAGGACTTTCCAAGATAAACTGTTTTAGTGGGTTGTATTCACTGGAAATTCTAGGGTGAACTGTGCCATGATTTTGTAACCACCGAAGCTGTTCTAAGCACAGTAAGACTTTTTACTTTCCATTCTCACCATCTATTTCCTCATCTGTAGTGCATAAGAACTTGCTGTGCCTGGGGTCACTGGGCAGAGGATCATTGCTCCTGCCGTAGCACAGGCAGGACAACGTACGCTTCAGGTACACTGGCTTCACGTACAGCTTTAGCTAAACACACACTATCAAAAGACTTTTCCTTGTTTTAAAATCTACTATTCAAGGCAACTAGACACAAAATCAGTAAAACATACTTACCTTTATAAGATCAGTGATCAATATTTACAATGTGGCTAAAAGATTTTAAATCATGTGTCATACAGCCTTTATCTGAGAATGGTATACACTCAGGAAAGTCTGCTCCTAGATGTGCAGGTCCAGTGGTAGAAAGATTCATTTGAAGCTCTCTTAATGCACAAAATACATAAAGATTTTGTGTATCTTTACCACAAGATAACCAGATTAGTGACACTTATATGGTCATGAAGAAAAATGGTTATTCAAAATTCAAGTGCTTCCCAAAGTTAATAGCATGGTAAAACCATGCCACTAGATTTCCTTGTACATTCAGGGAAATGAAGTTGAAAAAAACAAAAACAACACACATACACACACAAAACATATTCATAGAACCAAAATCATGGCAAAATTTTAAAAAGTCAACTACTGAACTGTTTTACAAGTGTATGATGCATATTAAATACAGCAAGGAAGATATAAAGCTTGTCAAAGAGAAATAAAGTCTTATACTACATCATTAAGGGGTTTAGTGAAGTTAAAAGATTTATCAGAATTTCTGCTGAAGAAAAGGAAATAGCATGGGATTAAAAGAAAGAAAAAAAAAAAAGAAAAAAAGAAAGAATAAAAAGATGTCCTGAGGATCAAAGATGCTTTAATGGAACAGGAAGCAATGGCATCTTGAAAAGCAGTGAAAGCAACCTTACTGAATTTATCTGTAGCAGGCAATGGCATGTGACAGGCAGCGAATTAAATACTGGCTCTGAAAACTATTAGTTGTCAGAAAAAGGAAGAGTAAATATTTCTAAGCAGATCATTTTTATGTTAACACTTTGCTAGATGCCTACTAGCAGCAATAAACTGGTTTGTTAAGTGCTTTTAAAGTACAGTAGCTGCACAAAACATTTTTATACCTCTTTTTTGACTGGTAGCTGATGGAGGTGGAAGAATGCCGGTTGAAACTAAAATGAGATAAAAGTTGTACTTGAAAAAAATATACCAAGAAAATGGGGATATCTTATCCTACAGTGAATTTCCTTATGAAGAAGAGGTGCTCTTAAGTGCTAAACAGCATGTACATATTTATAATTATATAAGATCTGTATTACTTTGCTTATCTTATTTCAGCTAGGAATCATAGGGAAACCTGAATAATGGAAATGTAAATAAATGAGCTGAGTGAATCATAGGGAAACCTGAATAATGGAAACGTAAAGAAATTAGCTGAGTATATTGCCCCATAAATCACTCTCATCCATTTTTGCTCATTCTTTAGTTGTGGAATTCTAACTCAACCACTGGACTGTTTGCTTTGACATTCACCATTTATTTGTATTAGCACAGAAAAGTAAGTACGAGTTTCTTTTTGTCAAGCAAATCTTAAATGAACCAAAGTCCAAAGATCAGCTAAGTTTCCTAGCTTATGAGGCAACTAGGACAGCCTCACAGAAAGGACAGGCTGGAAGTAGTTGAAGCAACAACATCAAGCCGTCATGTTCAACTCTTCCCTTGCAGTACCATTCTACTGTTCATTTACTAAACAGTCTTTGGTAAACAGGTAGATTTTTTTTTCCTTGGGGAAGCAGCATCATTTCAGAACATAAACAATCCATTTATGTAAATACAGAAAGTACATAAAAGCCCGCATGATGTATGATCTGAGAAACAAGAGGATTCAGAATGAACACAGCTCCTGTCTAAATGCAGAGCAGTGCAGGGCTACATGGCATCAATCACATCTCGCAGCAGCGGAGCCCATGTTTGCCAGAATTACCAGAAGCCCATCATATGCCAGTTATTTTACTAGCTTCTGGAGAAGAGTTTTTCTTCCCTTTACTACAGACACAGTGCTTGGATTAAAATCCTAGGATCACAGAAGCTATACCTTCCTTTCAGAACCATAATCATAACTCTTTCCATTGTTTCTCCTCTTTTCGTATTCCCAGGGTGCTATCTCACCGGTTGCCCTGCTTTTACCCTCCAGATGGAACAACCAATTGCATAAAGGGCTTCATAGCTGATTTAAAACACTCCTTCTATGCTTTCTTTGTAAGTAAGTGAAAAAGTAAGATAACATTGCAGATGTAAGAGTAACACAATCAGTTAAGCATTAATGACATCAAACACTCCTCTTTAGGAACATTATAAAGATTTTACTCATGTTAGGTATTATGTGTATGGCCTTGCTCACAAAAGCAAAATCACCATAGAACTGGATCTACCAAAGTTTAAAATCAGATTTAAATAGTTAAGGACATTGATCAAGAAATGCTCCTGCATTTTCTTGGTGGACTTCTTTAAGGAACCTAGAATGAAGAAAACCCCAACAAACACTGGAACAATGGTGGTAAAATCTCAGCCTCATTCTACCTGAGCATGTTTGACAGGATGGAGATACTTACTTGTAACTAAGATAATCCACATTTTATTTTGAACTAAAATTATATTAAATGCTGCAATGCTCATAATATGTCAAGCTGAAACTGGATTTTCAAGTCTGTATTTTGGCGCACTAATGCATTGCTTGATTTCTAACTGAAAACTATCAGATGCTCAAAAATGTGAATTATAAATTAATTTAGAAGCCAGTTTTAGTCCCTTATGTTTGAAAACACTAGCTTTAATGCATGACAGTTTTTAAAACAAACATGGAGGTAGCGCACAAAGATAAAGAACCTACTTCAGCTGCAACACAGCCCTCCAAAAACAAACAACCAAACAGAGTTTGCTTTTTGTACCTGATTATACATTTTTCACAGGCTGTACAAGTTTCTGATTTGCCTTTATGGCCCAAGGCTTGCTGAATTACTGAACGTCCAAGAGAGGCATTAGCTAAGACAATAACATTTGCCTGCTGATAACAGCTTGAAGTGTGTGTCAGCATGGTACCTGTGTCATCCACTGGCAAGTAAGATTTTAGGGCAGTAGCATATAAAGCTGACATGTTGCAGATCTTATATCTTTGACTTAAATAATTGCCAGGTACAAGCAATAGGGTTTAGTAGTCTGATGCAAGCATTGCTTTCTGAAATTGACAGTTGTGTTTCATAGACTCACAGAATCTTTTGGGCTGAAAGAGACCTCAGGAGGTCTCTCACCTAAGCTCCTGCTCAAAGCAAGGGCAGCTTTGAGGTCAGCTTAGGGTTTTATCCAGTGGAGTCTTGAAAACATTCAGGAATGGAGCTGCATAGTCTCCCCAGACAACCTGCTTCCTTTCAAAGGGGCAGGAAAGGGTAAAATGGTCCATGCCAATCTAATGCAGGAGATAAAAGACATTTGAATTGCAAGTAAATTTTAATATCTCAGTGTGGTCTTATTATCTTCATTACTCACTAAAATTGTGATTCACACTGATTAGTCCATGTTGATACATAACTACAAACGGATTTATAGTTCCAAGGCCTCACACTGCTTCCTTTCTCGCCATTAAAGGAATGTGAAATGAAAGTGAAATGGATAAAGGCTCAATCAAGAAATAGCATTGTATTAGGTCTAAGATAGCCATGCAAGTAGTGTCAGCAAATAAAATGGCTATCTTTATATTAATTTATTAGCTGTTTATATGGAATTTATACATAATTATTGCTTAACTATCATTTCCAAAACAGCAATGAAAACCTAGCTCTTTTATGGAGATTTATCCCATAAAATACATAACAAAAGATATCTGCCTCTAATTCTTATATCAGAAGCCATGCCAGCAGTTGTCAATCTGTCCCAAGTAATGGTTACACTCTATTCCTGACCAACCTAGCTACCATACTTCAACATGAAGAGTGCGTGTTCTGGGATTAATACAGATGAATTATGAGCTTCTTAAATGAATAACCTTCAGTTAAAAAAAGTATGCATGCATTAACCATTTTTTGAAAACATGTCTTCTGCCTACTTGGGCAGCCTTATTTCAAGGATTAATTAAAGGTTTCTAGAGATCTACCAGTTTTATAACTCTGATTTAAAAGCTCACAGTGCTATGATTCACGTATTCATAAGGGTTTCTGAGGTTTTTAGATCACTCAGAGTACAGTCTTACAACTCAATAGTTCATTTTTAGAGTGGTCCCTCTGACTAGCAGCATTCTCAGTGTTCAAATCTATGTCTGTCTTCACCTAGTCAGACAGGTTCACAGAATAATAAAAACAACATCCAAAGGAAATTTTATTTCTGAAATAAAGCCGTTTCTTAAAACTGGAAAATTTGTACTTTTGACATTGTAAAAGTGTGATATGTTCTTTAGCTCTCCCTTTATATCCACCTGTTCTAGATACTAAGAAATTGTCAATGAGTAGATTTTTTTTTTCACTGAAGTATAAAAATGCCTTTCTAGTCTCAGATGGGCAACATAATAAATCTGATTAAGATTTTACCAATGGAGTCCTGAAAGTGATATATGCAATGCATCTGTGATTTTATCTTTCTGCATTCCTCCAAAATTGTTCATTAAATGAAAGTCTGTCATTATCTGATTGTTTTTCTTGAAGGGGGAAAAAGTATAGGGCCTTTTGTGACGTCAATGCTAATCTCAATGAACTATGCATATATTGCAGAAATAAGAAGTATTGTGTGCAGTATTACTACTACATGGAGACTTCAGAGACCTATTATTAACTATTAATTAACTATTAACTCTCACTGAAGCTAGTAGAATACAAAGGAAATCTCTTATGCAGGTATGTAAAAATATAATACGGGTCCCAAGGTATGGACTGATGGAACATGAATAGATGTCCTCTGTCTGGCCAGAGTCGTCATCAAGGCTTCAATTTAATTTGGTGTTCTGACTGATGGATACATTTCATTCCTCAACCGAGAGAAACATTAAAACTGAGTCTTTTCTGTGGCTCAGAGGAAATAAATAGGTTTTGCATGCCAGTGTTTAATCAAGCTCAAATATGCACAGTTATTGTTGCTTAGGAAGCAAGGGACTTTCCCTCACTATAAGAGATTTTTAACTGTCTCCTACAACTATGTAGGACCCTCTTCTCACAGAGATATGTGATCATTCCAGCTGACTAAAAGAGATGTGTTAGGAAAACCAACACTGGATGAAATAGTACTGGTGACATTCAAGAGCCTAATCATACCACAGGACTGAACAAAACAGCAGTGTGAGAACTGCTTCTGAAATGCACAGAGTACTCTCCCAAGTAACAAGTGATAGGACAAGAGAAAATCACCTCAAGTGGAGCCAGGGGAGGTTTAGATTGGACATTAGGAAGAATTTCTTCACCAAAATGGTTGTCAAGCATTAGAACGGGCTGCCCAGGGGAGTGGTGGAGTCACCATCCCTGGAGGTATTTACAAGACGTGTAGATGTGGTGCTTAGTGACATAGTTTAGTGGTGATCTTGGCAGTGCTGGGTTAACGGTTGGACTCAATGATCTTAAAGGTCTTTTCCAACCTAAATGATTCTATGATTCTCACAATGTGAAAATTAGGTCCTCTTAAGGTATTTTGTGATGGATACCAAAAATAATGAATTCCCTAAATAATTCATCATTTTGGAATTTTGAAAGTTCATAAATAAAAGTAGATGTCAATGGCAGGAAACACCTTTGCCTCTGTTCTTACCTTCTATTCCTGGTAACATTCTGGTGACATTCACCAACTTCATAGCTTAATTGAAACTAAAGTTATGATCAGTGTACTTCCACTCAAATAAATCGAATTACATCAGCAATTAATTTCTGTCTTATGCTTTATCAGCTCCATACAGGAATTACATCCCCTATGTAATTCCCATGGCTGTAAACAGACATGTTTACATTCTAAAACTCAGAACTCTTCTGATCTGTTCTGTAGCTATTTCATTTTTGCACTGGTTTCAGTGATGTGAAGCCAACTAAAATGCCTTCCATATGTACCTACGCATAGCACTTAACTGCTGTTTTCTATGATACTCCTGAGAAAGATCATTATACTTCTCGATGTGTAGCCTTCAAACTTGCGCGCTTTGTTCCATTTTCAAACATCACCTTTGGGTGATTCCTAACTACCTTTTTATATCAAGATAAGAAAGACATGGATAATTATAATCTCAAATGTACTGCTGATTCAGTTTTTCATTATTTCTGAAGATTGTGTTCGAATAATGAATCTTAAAATCTACTGCTTTCTCCTTTGTTAGTCTTGACAAAGTGTTAATGAAAGCAGTGAAAAGGTTTAGCAGTGAGGTAGTACAGCAGCATTCTCTCTTTCTAGTGATAGATGCTACCTTCCCCTATCAGGGGTCTTTCATTAGTCAAGATTAAGAGCATAATAAAAGAAGGTGTACGACTCCTGTGATCCTGTGTTTTCACCAAGAAAAAAAAAAAGTCTGTCATTCTCACCCAGTGTCACTAGACAAATATTTTAATTTTAAGATGGCAAAACCAGCACAAACCAACCAACTGAAATATTGCTGTTCCAAAGTGATCTTTTGATCACACATCCTGAATCTAAAAAACTTCGGTGCTTCCTAGCTTGGTTCTAATGTGAAAGATAAGCAAGAAGGCTATTCCTTTAAACACATCGTGCTTTTCAGCAGTCTCTGCCAAGCGAATCTCTTAAGAAGCTCAAAACCTTAAACTGGAGAGAGTAACAGAGAATAAAACCAAATGAAGTTAAAAGAAAGAGAGCTTTACAGATATACCTAGACTGAGATGAGAGAGCAGATGAAATAGTGGAAGCTGCTAATGACATGTTCTTGGACCCATGGAAAGGCTTAGGCTGTGCAAGAGAGCTGGGGGCTGCAAGCACTCTGCAGAAGACACAGTAAAAGCATGAAAGCATGTACAAAATAACAGGGACAAAATAGTGACATCAGAATCAAGGTTTGTCGGAGTTCAGATACAGGAGGACTGCTCATAGTTACCAGGAACAGGTTTTCTGCAGCATACATCTACAGACTTACAGAGTAGCACAACCGAGCACGTTCCTACAGAACGCAAGACAACACACACATTATGTAAAAATCTTAAACCCAGCATCTATTGATAATTAGGAAAGACAATGTTTCAGGACAGGGCTTTTGTCAATGATACATGTTTTTATCTGCAAGATCTGAAGATGTTTGAGTCTGATTTCAAGCTAAACTTTTTAAAATGCAAGAGTCTCCCATTTAAAACACAAGTCATTGCCATGATTAGTGTAGTACAGGCATTTATTTTTGAATTGTATATTAGGTAATCCATTTCCTTCATTTTAGAGTTTCAACTGAGGGATAAAAATTACTTAAATGGTATCATTATTTCATGTGAAAGTGCCTTACAGCACAGTTCCAAATTACAGAATAATACCTTATTCAAATTTCCTTTGCTGGCTGGATGATTGATTTTCTTGCACTGGAATAGAAACATTGGAGTCCAGTAGGTCATGGTTAGGTAAAGAGTGAATAAAGCGAGAAACTAAGTAATTGGTATACATAAATAACTTAACTAGCAAGAATTAAACAAGAAAGAGCCAAGAGAACATTTCCAATTCCATTTACACAAATCTAAGATATGGCAGACTACATCTTATGTCTCAATTATTTAAAGTAGTTTACATTACTGGAAGGGTGTTTTTCCTTGGATCTTTAAAGCACACTAAAATATACACCTTTTAGGAATATTCATGTAGCAAAAAACAAAGATAAAAGAATAATATGCACCAAAAGTATTCACTCTGTCTCCAAAATGACTATAATGTAAGTGACAGCAGTATAAATCCCACGTGTTTCTTCACAGACTGTCTGACAACTTTTAACAAACAGCTGTAACTCCTACTGTACCACAAGTGTTATGAACACACACCTCCTCGAAACCCACTTTATAGCTAAATATCATTACAGAAAACAGTAGATAAATCTAATAGAAATTAATTGAAATACATTACAGAGCAACTCAATCATCAAATGTGTGGTTTTATTGACATATTGCTCATTGTTCCCCATGTTTGGCTGACATCTGCTATGATATGGTAAGCTCAATCATGTGAGTAAATGTCATTTTCTAATTTTCCATTTCATGTTATACTGCAGAAACACTATTAAAAGAACCTTCATTCAACCTCTCTAACTATTGTGAGGAGTTGTTTTTGTTTATTACAAGTGGTGAAAAATTATTTCTAGTTTTAATCCTAGACTTGCTTTCTGAAAATGTAACCCGTATTGCAGACCAAAAGCTACATTTTCTAGGGCAGTTTTACTCTGCAAATTCTTTGCAAACATGAACAACATAATTCAAAATAAGTAAACACGTCAAAATATACAAAAGCATGTAAAATAGGTTACAGCTTTTACATACTACATTCTTCAGTTAAGAATGTATATGCAGCATTTCCAGAGCCATACAGGGGTGTATCTGCAAAAGGACAAAGCAATGAAGCATTACCTTTGGAAGGAGGACGAGAAAGACTCTTGCACTACTGAGGTGGTTGCTGGTGGTGTCATCAGACTGGCTGTATTTTGAGCAGCGGTAGCAGGCTGATGTGCTGAAGCATGTGGTGCAGGAGCAGAGACAGAACTGGTAGACACCGGAGCATGCTCAACAGGGGTACTAATTAGAGTTAAATCAAATAAAACAAGAAGCATCTTAAGAAGGTGTGTATTTAAATGTACAGCATAAAACCTACTATGTTTGAACCTACAAACATAGTAGCAGGCTGTATTACTGCGGGAAAAGCACCATTATGCAAAGAAAAAAACAAAAGAAAAAGACATTTGTTAGGCCTTTTTGGATGTGTAGTTAAGACTGTAACGCAGTTTTGGTCCTCCATGACTGAAATTTATCCCAGGTGTTATACAGCAGTTAAGTCCTGCTCCCACTGAAGGCAGTGGCAGGGAACATGGCACGCAGTATTAAATGATTGCGAAGAGCCTGCCACAAACTCTTTTAGCTCGGATAAATTTCACCCAATATTTACTCCTAGAGCTGAAGTTTGTGTTAGGAGTAAACTTTTTAATTAGATGAAGAAAAGCAATTTAAAGGATATTATCATAGTCCTGTATCAGCAGGTTTCCTGCAAGGTCTGATAGTCTAGAAATCCAGTCAGAACGGTTTTGTGTTGGGTTCAATCAGTTTTGTGCAGTACAGGTAGTGGAAAGACATCTAAAAGGAGTCCATTCATCTCTGCCCTAAATTGACCTTACTTTACACTGGCGATCCCATCAAACAATAAGATGCCTTTTTAAATATAGAACTGTGCAAAATACAAGCAGAAGATGTAGCATAAAATTATACTACACCAGTTTTAAAACGATTTGGGTGATGAGCATGAGTTGTTATCCCTGTGGCCCTCCAGTGCTATTGTGGCACAGGTAACATCGAGCAGAGAAATATTAATGTTTAAATTTTTTTCTCTTTATTTGATTGCAAAATAGATTAATTGAAATGAAGAATAATAATAAAAATCTAGTCTTGTATCCTGTGGCCAGTTTAGCAACTTACTGAACTACTGGTGTCTTTCATCACCTGCTATCAGAGCACCCAATGCTTTCATACATATTTCAGCCTTGCAGCCCCACTTTTTTATTTGGAAAGTATTACTCGTCTCTGACAGATAGACAAATGGCTCAAAGTTATCTATTAGATAGCTTTGCAGGATAGTTTAGTCAAAGCCATCCACCATGAAGAAATGAACCTATCTTTTGGGAAGTTCAGTTTATTGTGTTCCGCTAGCTCTTTACATCAAATGAAAAAAAAAAAAATCACAAAGTGGACTTACAAGATGCAAGTTCTTTGGTGACTGTTTCAATGAATGTATCAACATCAGAACAATATCAACAACAGAATAATAATATGTATGTTCACTATTTACTTGTCAATAAACTGAATGAAAATCACTAGGTCTTTTAAAATTAAAAGCGGGAGATGAGAAGTTTAATTTTATGTTTACGCAGATTTTGCTGTGATTTTATTAATTATTACCCACAGAGCAAGCCATGGAAAACCAACTAATTGTGATTTGATTTTTCATATTATTATACTATTTTGAGGCACAAACTTCAGTGAAAATAAAAGCGTATGTCCCCCAGGCATAAGGGACATTTTTCTGGATGCCTATTATTGTGCTGTAGATTCATTTTCTTTAGAATTTATCCCCATTACATCTATTTTTTTTTTAAACTAAGGCATTACTGTATATGACAGTTGTCTTGTCTATGAGCAGTCGTATAAGAACATAACAGATACACTTATTTCTTTTGACCTAACTCATAAGTATATTTCCACATCTTGGTAGCTGAAATGGAAGCGTGGTTGTTATGCCCACCAATTTCAAAGTTGAATGCAACCCACGACAAAAGCAGAAAATCAGTATTTTCTACCCTACGAGATCAATCTGCAACTAACATGTAACAAGTGAGCTCCTGAAAACACTCACGCTGTTTGCAACTCATTAAACCAAAAGTTATGCAACAGTTTTGCAAAAGTTTGTCCATCATAATATGCATTTGAAATTCAGATCAGTTCTTCCATCCTGATGCATTTGCTTTATGATGTAAATTCTTCCACTTAGCTAATACAGTATCAGTTACATAGACTGTGTAGCAGAGTAGTGGTATATTATACTCCACAGCTATGGATTATGGGCTAGTCTGTTACAGAGGTCTCATACTCGCAGGATTTTTTTCACCCTGTGCAACAGTGGGTACTGGAACCGTCACATTAAAAGGTGTAGAGTCAAAATGTAGTACTTGCATATCTTTGATTTGCAAACAAGACAGGACTGAAACTATACTGCACATCAAAATGGAACTTAAAGTACATCCTAAAACCAAATACAAACTAGGATTACACCTATTTTGTCTTTCTGTTTTCACTGATGTGAAAGGGAATTTGCTACAGATTTCAAAAGAATCAAGACCTCATACCTTGAATAGAAGAAAACAGTGAAGTTAATTGTAACGACCTCTAAAATGTTAACCAAAACCCGTACTCAGTGATACGTATTTAAAAGAAAGAGGGAAAAAAAAAAAAAAATAAGAATATGTGTGGACATGGACCTGTGTGGAGACAGATTTTAACTGGACAAACACATATAAATAAAATAAATACAAATATACTGGAATAACTTTTAAAAATTAAAAGAAATACAAACAAATGTTATCTCGCATGCCGTTCGTAATAGTTCTTTTTTGATTTCTGGTTGAAATGTTAGAGGCTTGATCACCTTCCTGCAGGGTAGAAGATATTAACAAGGAATTTGAATAAAGATAAATTAAGTAGATGGAACCTTAAATATCAGAGTGATCTGGCTACGTAAGTTATATGCATTTGGTAACTAATTCTCTACTCGGTTTTATGGAAAGAACTCAGACTAACTTGACTGTTTTCAGTTTAACCACTATAACTTTTAAAATGCTTTTATTTAGATATTCAAATAACAACTTCTTTTTTTTTTCTCAAGATTGCCTCCTTTCTAGATTTTCAATCTGGTATTTTTTTTTAGTGCTTCAGGTGCAGAAGAATTTTAAGAACTGATAAATGTGAATGCTGCTTTATAAAAAAGATTTTCTATTATAAAAGCTTCAGTTTTACGTACAATATAGAGGGTTTTTTGGTTTTAATACAGTCATTCTGTACACTTTTCATCTTTTATAGTATTTTGTATTTTAAGGAAACTCAGAGGAAATGGATGTTCTCAAACATCTCCATATTTGTGGCAACAAATAAACATAAAATGCACAATGTAAGTAAGTTACATGGATGAAAACAAACACACAGCTGATTTGCACTCATGAAAAGGAACACAGATCAGTAGAAGTTAAGAAGATAATAATGGCTAACAAACATAATAAGAAAACACAGCACAAACACACTCTAACGTTTACAAAAAAATCAGTGCAGATTACACTTCTTTCTCTCAGTAAAATCCTAAGTTCTGAGACTTTGTGTCCAAATAACAATTGAGTGGATTATTAAAGCAGTACTTAGTCTCTTTTAAGTAATGCAAGAAGTTCTTTTTTGTTCCAAATACTCCAACAGATCTCTTGTAAGAATTGGAAATAGAGGGGACAAAAAATAAAAATGAATAGGCAAAATTTATATTATTGTAGCATTTGTAGAAAAAAGTGCAAAGAAGGTGTTTGGAGAAAGACATAACATGGGATAGATTTGCATTTGAATATGGGAATGTTTGTAGACATACAGTGAATTATATCAGCTGCTGTTTCTCTGCAGAAGGTGCTTAATGACTGTTGTCTCTACGCTGTAGGTGCGATCCTTAAAAGCGCCACTTAAAACGTGAAACGCACATGAACTCGAAGTTGCTGGAATTTGTAGAACTTCGACATCTGCCTTTTAGGCAACGGG